TATGCAGTTCTTCATATACACACACATTAATTTCAAACAGATGGTATCGGCCAATACTGCACAGCCAGGTATCGGGTATCAGTATCGGGGGCCAAAAATGGCATCGGCGCAACAATAGTTTCTACTATCTTTTTTTTTTTTTAAGGATGTGGCTGTTTTGGAGTACAGTGCACCAAGTGTGGCAGCAAAGTGCATCGCAACCCATTTCAGCGGTGTAAGAGAAGCAGCCGTCGTGTTGGATGTGGCATGTGGTACAGGACTGGTGGCCAAACAGGTAAGTAGTTGCTACACTGATGTGTTAGAATGAGATATAAAGAAATGAAGTAGACTTTAGTAAACTATTTTGTTAGAAGGAAAAGTTTGAAAAAAAGACTAGAGTATCTTGGTTGTTGAGGCAATTATCAGCTCAACCTGAACATTAATATTTGCTTATTTGGAGACCAAAATTAAATCTGCATTAAATAACTGTTGATAGTGAAAGAGCTGCAGGTTAGAGGAACGCTCTCATCTTTTGCAAGATAAAAATAGCCCATTTTATCAACTCATTAAAGGGAAACACCTTCGACAGCACTGAATGTTGAATTAAATCAAAAGCTTTTAGATTAAAGTGTGTAACACTGAATTTACAATGTGTCTGTCTCCCCTCTGGTGCAAAGCTCAACAGTGCTCGAACAATCCTGCGCAGATAGCTCCATAAAAGCCAAGCCGACTTTATTTATGATGCACTCTTTATAACAGCGGACGCAGACCAAACATGCTGGAAAAAGGAAAGAGCAATTACAATAAATAGATTATCTATATATTTGGGAGTTAAACCAAAGCAACTGATTATGGGAGATTTTAAAACAATTGAAACTGCTTCACTTTAACTTTTTTAGTATAAAAACCACTTCAGGAGTTATATTCTGCAATGGATAAGCACGGCGAGTGCAGATAAGCTTTAGTTGTTTCTGATTTTAATGCATTTAAGTTTGTTTTCTTTTTTATCATGTTTTGATTACCTCGGTCAACATATGCAACCCAGAAATTATTCTAATGTGTTTCTAATATACACAGAATTTTATTTGTAACTTAAGAAATATGGTGAAATCCGTAAGATAATTTAGACAGTACTCGAGTTGAGGGGGAATGAGCGGGGATGTTATCCCCCTTATTAAAAAAAATCTTAAATATCGTCCTCCTTCTTAAATAGCCATCCCCCCATACCATCCCCTGTGACCTTAAATTACTGAATGTGTAATATTTCCACCATATTTTAACAGTAAAAGTAATAATATTGCCTTTTCAACATTTGGCAATGTGTTGGCTAAGGAGTAGCCTGAGCAAAATAAATAAAATCAAAGAAGTGTCGTACCATGACTATGAAGCTGATCCCAGTGGGAAATTAGTCCTCTGAATTTGTCCCTAACTATGTAGGGGCGGTGATAGCCATGCCAGTCCAGGGACTGACTGCAGTTCTACTGTAAGATGCCTTGGACAAGGTCAATGACCGGCGTACCTGACATGTAACAACCGCACCATGCATATGTCTTTAGGTTAAGAGACTATATTAATTAGGCTGTTTGCTTTCAAAAAAGAAAGAAATCCACCAGCCCCCCTTTTTAACAACTAGACTACTGGATATAGTTAATCTTAAGTGATTTGTTTAAAAAATTTAAATGTGATTGCATAGACTTCTGTTGGTGTGGCGTGATATCTGTAGAAGGCTTTGTCAGTTAAGTTCAATTGTACTAGCTGACCATATGCCTTACTAGCAGACTGTGCAGAGCCTTTGAAAATGCTCTTTTTTTTTTTTTACATTTCGTGAGGAGTTTGCAGCGGAACAGAGAAGGATACACTATAATTTGGGTGTTAATGGATAATTACACTTTTCTCTTTTTGGTTACATTCTTCACTCCAGTAAATTTCCCTCTTTTTTTCTCCTCTTTTTATTTTTTTATTTTATTTTTCAGGGGTATAATGCCAAATAAATGAGAATAACTAATTTTATGAATGTTTATGACAGCTTTAAAACCTGCCTTGTAAACAGTAGTTTATCAAGTTTTCATACAATGAATTCCATAAGTGTCTCCACCACTTTTAAAATGTAGTAAGTATATCCAATTTTATTATTTGTTTATTAATGTTCTTCTTGATAGGAAGTTATTTGTTGGAGATCCCTTTATTTGAACATATTTTCAGCAAATATCAAAACATTTAGAATGAAGATTTTTCCTTTTTTAGGACAGTTACTTATACCAGTATGACCAATACACAAATATGTCTTTGTTAATCAGATGAAAAATCTTGGTTTTGGAAATTTTGTGGGGGTGGATGGAAGCAAGGCCATGCTGGACAAGGCGAGAGAGAGTGGGTTGTACCAGGACTTGAAGAGTTGCCTGCTTGGAGAGGAGCCTCTACCCAAACAGTGGGGTATAAACCTAAATCCGGTCATATCGTTAATCTCTGTGACCTATAGAAGGATCCCTACTTCCACTGCTTTCAGCTATTTTATATGTTAATTATTTTCCGATGTTTAAAAACACTTAAATGTAAGCATGAAAGTCTGAAACAGGGACAATGTCCTTTTAAGCTAAAACCGTCTCTTTTCTCACCTCCAGCAGATAGATTTGATGTGGTTGTGATTGTCGGAGCATTAAGTGTTGGTCAGGTCCCCTTTGATGTCATTAGAGACCTCTGCAATGTAACCAGACCAGGTCAGAGCTTTGTTTTCTTTCTTTCTTATTCAAGTGGTTATATATAAATACCAATGTTAACATGCTATTGCTCAGTTTACATTAGGTAAGACAAACCATGCTGCACTTTACTGCACCGTTTCATTCTTCCACTAGGTGGCAGTATTTGCATGACAACAAGAAGTAACCATCATAACCTGAAATACAAAGCTTCCCTGGAGAGAGAGATGAGGCAGATGGAGGAAGAAGAGCTCTGGACTTGTGTAGAGATCACGGATGTCGACAACTGGGAGAGAGCTGTATCTGAGCAAGAGGAGGGCTACATATCTGGAGCTGTGTACCTCTATAAAAAAAACTAGAACATTAAAGGTATAGTGGAGGATTTTCAGAAAATTTTTGGAAAGACCAGCCCTCTCCACTTAGAAAAAAAATGCATATGCACAACCCTGGACCCACTCCCAAGAGGGAACGCCTGTTAAACGTGTGCAAGAGCATGTACGAGCTCATTTTCTCCTTGTAAAAGCTCTGTTTAAAAGTTGCTGTTTGCATCACTCATTCAAGCTTACTTTCCAATTGCAATTTTTCCACTATGTCAGACTCACCACAGTGTTATGCAGAGAATTACCTGCCTGTCGAGAATTACCTCCCTTCTCGCACACTGATGAGAAAATGGATTTAAATAAGAATGAAAAGGGAACTTTTAAACATATTCTTAATATTTTTTATATTTCTTATGCATGGATGCCCTAGAATTGTTTTTGGTGGACAGATAAATGCCAAGAGATTCCTGCCTGTCGAGAATTACCTCCCCTGTTGCAGGAGAGTGCATCACCCTAAACTCTTACACACTGATGAGAAATCAGATTGAAATATACCGTAGATGAAAAAGGGAACTTTCAAACTTATTCTAAATGTTTTGCCAGAAATGATATAGAATGTTGTTGATATCTGAAGCAGCAACTGCTATCACTGAGCAGAGAGTATATTCATTGAATACTGACTGTAGCACATCTAATAAAAATCATTTTAATTTGACTTTATCTATCCACCAAAACTAAATATTAGGGCATCCGTGCATGAGAAAAATTTAAACATTAAGAATTAATTTCAATCCGTTTTCTCAGAGGGTTAGGTGAGAATGGGGACGAGCATGTAGGATGGCCTTAAGTAAACATATCACCAGAATAATTGACAATTAGGAGGACCACTTAATTTTATGATGCACCCGGAAAACGAACATCCACTACCAGTGGCGCCCAAAGTACTGTTGAACAGGGGGTGCTGTGACAATCTGTTTTATTTTTTGGTTGGTTTTTTTTTTTGGACAAAAGACCTATGAGCCCATTGGCCTATTTAAAATACAATAAAATTAAATAAGTAAATAGGTAGAGATTCACTACTTTGTTGTCATTGTTATGTTTCTTTCCATAACTTAACTATATAGAATTAACAGAACCTCAGTGGAACATGACTTTGTTTTTATTCAACATATTTCCCAGAACACAGTAAGATCAATGCGCTGATACCATATTTGGTGTTCTTCCACATAAAATAGTACCATTGAATAATATATTGTTTTATCCCATACATAACAGTTCCTCCCATCCAGCTTTGACGAACCAAAAATATACTTAGCAAAATGTGGTAATCCAATAACCTGGCTCAAACAGAAACATAACATCTCTTTAGATATTTGCAGCACAAAAACGGTTATCTACTCTTAACATTTAAATTGCTTCTGTTATAAAGGAACAGATGATCTACAAATTCAGTCTCTGAGGTGCTCTGCGATTTCCCTCAGGATAACGTCTACTTGTTCGACCAGAGTCTATGGTGCTCTGTGTGGAAGGTTCAGCTGTTGTCACACTGGTGGATTGACCCGAACCCTGAACCCCAGGAGATGTGGCAAAAGTAAACTCTTCTGAGTCTTGAAATGTAGATGTGTCCTCAGGTTGCTCCAGATTTTTGTGAGTCTCCACATCTAGGATCTGAGCTATGCCAGATTGAGTTATCTCCAACATTTAGATTGTATGTCAGAGGTCCTGTCTGTGACAGAATTGTGCCAGACTGCCATGGTGAGAACTTTTTGTCCAATGTCAAAAGATCTGGTTTTGTTCCCTCTTGTTTCCACCGGAAAAGGCTATTGGTCCTCAACATTCTGCCGAATGTCTGGTTTCAACAGATCCAAACGGGATCTCCGATTTCTTCCCATGAAAAGCATTGCAGGCGTTTGTCCAGTTGTTGCATGAACGGTGTTTCTGTAAGCCAATAAAAAGTTGTCGATTTCAGTTGCAGAGGTCTCCCCTCTGTCCGGCTGGCTTTTATGGACCTCTTGAATGACTGAATGAACTGTTCAGCTTGTCCATTCGTTGCAGGGTGATACAGGGCTGAAGTGATATGTCGTACACCGTTGTTCTTAAGAAAACACTGGAACTCTTCTCTAGTGAACTGATGACCATAGTCACTGAAAAGCTGATGAGGCAGGCCTGTGCGGGCAAAGGTGACCTAAGGGCATTGATTGTGGTGGCTGTTGTTTCATGCTTTACAGGAAAAAAAATCTTGCCACTTTTAGTGAGCATCAACCACAATCAAGAACATTTGGTCCATAAATGGTCCAACATAGTCTATGTGGATGCGTTGCCAGGGGGTGGATGGCCACTTCCACCTGTGCACAGGTGCTGGTTGGGGCTGGCGCAGTGTCTGCGGGCAACCAATGCAGGACTTAGCCATGTCCTCTATTTCACAGTCAATGCCTGGCCACCAAACATAGCTCCTAGCAAGACCTTTCATCTTAACCACCCCCAAATGTCCATCATGAAGTGAATTCAGCAACCTTTTACGTAGTAGGGGCGGTATTAAGACACAGGTTCCCCATATTACACATCATTGGCAAACCGATAGCTGGTCTTTGCGGCTGAAGTATGCAGAGAACTGAGTGTCAATAGAACATGGCCAGCCATTCACAGTAAAATCGTACACTTTGGACAAGATTGTGTCCCGACTTGTTTCTCTTTTTACTTAAGCACTTGTCACAGGTTCCATTTGTGAAATGTGAAACACAGTTTCTGGATCAGTAGTTTCTTTAGTGGTTTAAAGTTTGTGGAAGGCGTGAAAGTCCATCTGCGTTTCTGTGCAGTTTTGTCCCTTTAAATTCAATGTTGTAGGTGTGTGAGCCAAGGAACAAAGCCCATCGCTGTAACCGTACTGCAGCCATGGTTGGCACACCTCTCTGAGGGTTAAAGATGGACACCAGTGGTCGGTGGTCTGTGACCAGGGTGAAGTGTCGTCTGTATAAATATTAATTGAACTTCTTCACTCCACACACTAGATTTAGTGCTTCTCTGTCTATTTGAGCATAATTACGCTCTGCTGCATTCAGGGACCTTGAGGCAAAAGCAATTTGTCGTTCCACTCCATCAGACATTCCATGAGATAGCACAGCACCAATGCCATATGGAGAGGCATCACATGCAAGGCGAAGAGAAAGATTTGAGTCAAAGTGTGTTAGCACCTCATCTGATGTAATGAGCTGCTTAGCACTATTAAATTATTTTTCAGTCTTTTGTCCAGTTCCACTTGACATTTTGTTGCAACAGTGCATATAGCGGGTGCAGAGCTGTTGACAGGTTCGGTAGAAACTTGTGATAATAATTAATTAAGCCTAAAAATGAGCATAATTCACTGACAGTTTTAGGCTCTGGTGCCTTCAAGACTGCTTCAACTTTGTCTTTGGTTTTGTGGAGTCCATACTTGTCAATGCGATGTCCACCATTCTCAATGGCATCTTTAAAGAACTCACACTTTTTCCTGTTTGCTCTCAGTCCATATTTTTCTAACCTTGCCAGGACAGCTGCTAGGTTAGCTAAATGTGTTTCTTCATCAACACCTGTGACAATAATGTCATCCAGAAAACATTGTGTTCCTGGAACGCCCTCTAGAACCTGATCCATGGCCTGATGCCACACTGCAGGAGCACTGGCGATACCAAATACCAGTCCGTTGTATTGAAATAGGCCTTTGTGAGTATTTATCACTAGATATTTCTTGGTTGCCTCTTCCACTTCCATCTGTAGGTAAGCTTGGGCAAGGTCGATTTTTGAAAAGTGTTTGCCACCCGCCACTGCAGTGAATATGTCTTCTGTCCGCGGAAGTGGGTACTGATCTACGCAGAGTACTGGGTTCACTGAAACCTTAAAATCACCACAGATTCTCACGCTGTCACCTGTTTTCTTGCTCACTGACACTATTGCCCAGTCTGACCATTCCACCTTCGTGAGTATTCCTTGCTCTTCCAAGTGTTGCAGCTCTGCTTCAACTTTAAGCCATATAGCATACGGTACAGGACGAGCCTTGTGAAATCTGGGTTTTGCATCATCAGCCAGTATGATCTGTGCTCTAATATTTTTCAGATTGCAAATTCCTTCTTTGAACACAGGAGCATGTTCCTCAATTATTTGTTTCAGTCTTTCCTCCACAGAACCTTCATGGATTTTATTTCTTTCCAGTTGAGTTGGAAGTGCTTCCACCAGTCTCGTCCAAATAATGGGACACCTCCATTTTTCAGAACATAAAGTTCAAGGTTGCATTTGTTTTTCTCATATTCCACTTTCACTTTTATTTTTCCCAAGGGACTTATTCTTTCACCTGTGTATGTTTTTAGTTTCACTGAGGTGTGCTTTAATTTCAGATTTGGGAACTTCTCTCTGTAATCATCATATGAGATCAGTGAAAGGGCTGACCCAGTATCCAGTTCCATCTGTAAAATAACCCCTTGTACTTTAGTAGTGAGCGATATAGCATCTTTATATTTCTCCTTGCTTGTATTGTATAAAGCTTAAGGCATGCCAAATGCTCCTGAGAAGAAGCTGATTCTGTCTCATTTAATTTATGCAGCTTCCTGTCTTTGTTCCATGTTTTGTTTTTCTTAAATTGTTTTGATCTGCACATTTTCTGTATATGCCCCTTTTTGTTGCACTGGAGACATTCTTTATCCTTAAACCAGCAATTAGCAGCATTATGTGATTTTTTGCCGCATCTGTAACAGGTCTGTAATTTATCCTTAGGCTGTGCACGCATTTTATTGACAGAACACGGCTCCGTGAATTTTCCCTGAAGCTCTCCTGCATCTTTTGCTGCAGTTTCCATTGATATAGAGGAATCGTTTCTGTGTGCTTTCATTATGCAGCCCGCAGACAAAACGGTCTCTCAGCGAATCTGACAGCCCCTCCCCAAACTGACAGTGCTCCGACAGCCGCAGAAGCTCCGCGATGTACTCCAAAGTGGACTTGGTTTTTAACTGATTCCGTTTATAAAACCTGAATCGTTCGGCTATGACAAGGGGCTTTGGTTGGAAGTGTTTTTGGTGAACCTCTGTGATCTCCTTAAAACTTTTGCCTGCTGCTTTGTCTGGTGTAATGAGGCAGCGCGGCAAGTTATACGTTTTCGCCCCCATTACGCTCAGTAACATGACAACTTTCCTCTCATCCTCTACTTTGTTAGCCAGGCAGTACTGTTCAACTCACTCCACGTATGTTGTCCAGTCCTCTGTGCCGTTTTCACAACTGTTCATTTGTCTAACGCATCCCAACATTTTTCGTGTGGTGCTCGTTACTCACTTTCTCTCTGTAGGTCGTTAGTTAGCAAGCCACATTAGTGTCCAGACGGATAATTTTTTTTCTCCTTTTCTTATCTTTCTGTCACTTCCAATAGGCTTTCCCCCTCTCTGTCGTTACATGCACATCGGGGATCCGTTTAAACCTCGTTGCCAATTTTTTTATGTTTCTTTCCATAACTTAACTATATAGAATTAACAGAACCTCAGTGGAACGTGACTTTGTTTTTATTCAACATATTTCCCAGAACCTAGTGAGATCAATGCGCTGATACCATATTCCGTGTTCTTCCACATAGAACACAAAATAGTACCATTGTATATATTGTTTTATCACATACATACAGTAACAGTCATATACACTTCAGTGCACGCAACCAGAGTCTGTATCACACAGACATCNGGTAGCATCACGCTCTTACTTTCAGCTACAGGCAGGGTGCCCTGCCTAACAGGTGCTGAAATGTTCAGATGCGCTCTGAGGTCATGGAGATAAAGTCTCTCATAAGTGGATGCCCCCTATAAACATGGGAAAAAATAAATCCTGTGAATTTTGAAACTGTCATTATTTATCTATATTATGTTTTAAACATTTTTTCATTTATATTTTGAAATTCAAAATAGTTAAAATAAATATGACTGTTGGTTTGATGATCTCTATTTAATGTATTTTCAATTCTCAATTCAAAATTTCTGCAGTAGCATTGCTCCAGACATTTGGAATTAAGAAATCTTTCTGGAAGGAAATCAAAACATTTTCAAAGTTGGAAAACAAATTCCAGTGGTTTTATTTTGATTTTTTTTTCTTAACATTTCTGAATTGTTAGATAAAAATTTAAACAGAAAATATATTTCATTACGATCATCAAAGGGGGAACAGATTGTATCAGGCGGCTAAAATATATGATTCGCCTCTCATAACTCTGGCAAATAATGATCAAATGTCACCAAATCCACAGGATTTGTTGTTAATGAAGAGAGGAATACACACAGCTAAAGACTTGCAGGTGAATTAATTTCTTCCCATGTTATGGAGGGGGAACTGATTATTCCAGGCAGCTAAAATATCCATTGTCTCCTATCCTCCTCCCATATCTTTGGGAAATAAAGAGCAACTTTTTCCAGAATCTCAAAAACTGTATATGTGTGATAGCATGTAATATACTATACATGTCCTTAATATATATAATATATAATTTTACATTAGAACGGGATTTACCAGAAAGTCTACACTCCCATCGTTGCAGGAACTCTTAATATTTGGTGCCCTGCTATCAGCCAGTTTCCATTATCTTATATCAGCAATGCAAAATTATAAATACACTCTACGTGTTGGAAAACTGTGTTTAGTGACTGACTTTTATTTTATTTTTATTCAGGCTTAACTGACAAAAGTTGGAAAAAAGAGTAATTCTCTTGGCGTTAAAAAAAACGGCTTAAAAGGACCATTGTCTATTTATTTATTTTACAATTTTGTAAACAACAGCTGCTGATTAAACTGGATGTTAAACCGTGACATGATTATAGGAGTTGTTTTTGGTGAGAAATCAATCAGAACCGCTGTGAAAATGGTCCCATCCGCCATGTCCGCCTCTCTGGCTTCAAATGCGCTAGGCCGACCCAAGGGGAACAGAATTTAATACAACACCAGGACAAAGAACGTCTGGAAGTCAGTCAGAGCTTCACATCCCTCGGACATCAGTTTTCTGTTTAGCAACAGCTAGTGGTGACAACTTCCTCTTCTGTACGTGAATGCTACAGGCTGCTTTCCTGCCGATGCTGCCACTATGTGGTTAATTCCAGTATGGCATATTTTACTCAGATTAGCTCAGAAACAAGATCCGTGCCTCTTGGGGAAACATCCGGGGATGTAGTCGCAGCATTTCAGCGGACAGGATAAATAAATCTAATAAGAACTTCACACCATATCTCTCTCTCACACACTCATCAGACACAACAAAACCACAGAAAAGAGCAGTCAAGATCTCCTGACAAAGGCTGTGCAGTCAAAAAAATCTAAATAAACCAATTGATACACACACACAGTCCAGTAGAGATGAAAAAAAAAAAACAAAAAACGTTAAAACTGTAAAATTACAGTCATATTTGAATCACTGTTATATATATATATATATATATATATATATATATATATATATATATATATATATATATATATATATATATATATATATATAGATTGTGTTGCGACTCACGTTTCCAGAGAAGTGGAGAATCCTTGACTCCAATCTGTGTGTTGGTCATCCAGAGTTTGTCTGATTCGGTGGAGGGCAAAGCAGGGTTCACCCCGAACTCGGACGGTGAAGATTGATGCAGACGCTGGTTGCCACTCAGTTTTCCTGTGGTACTTGAACGGTTTGTGGTGAAGATGATTTCCTTACTCAGTGAGTGATATCAACGATCTCAAAGTTGGCTGAATCCAAACCTCAGGTGATCCCTCCTGGGAGAGGCGGTCCGAAAAGGTTCAGTTTGCCGGAAGGCTTCCTGCCAAAAGGCAAAGAAAAAACAAAGTTAAATCTCAGGGAGACAAGCTGTCAGTCAAACTCAATGAGATCTCAGCTTGGCTAGAGTACAAAAACTCGCAATACAAAAACCCAGATTAGACTCAGTATAAACAAAGCTTGGCTAGAGTACCCCAAACTGGCAAACACTCTGGCGTCGAGGTAGTGGCAACCAGCAGCTTAAGAGCAGTCCGGTGATGAGGTAACCGTCCGCAGGTGTGTGAGGAGGCGGACCGGAACCAGGCGCCTCCTGGTGGTGGAAGGGAGAGCAACACGAAGACAAGACAAACAGACAAACACAAAAACTGGAGTCCTGAAAAAAAAAAAAAATATATATATAGGGAAGTCCACTATTTCAGAATGATAAACTTCACTGGGTATTGGCATTGGCAGAGAAACTGGCAGATGGATTAAAATTAACCAGGAAAACAGGTAAAAATAGGAAAATACTAAGTACAAACTATGTATGCAGAATGGGTTGTTGACTGTTTCAGGAACTCTTTATTTTCGGGCAAAAGTTCCAAAAATCTTTCAAAGAATCTGCCAAGGCTCAGCCACATGTCGTCGGTGTGCAGTAGCAGATTAGTGTGGTCTGCACCTGTCTCCTCGAGCTGTGCACGGAATAAACGCCTCTGAAAACTCCTGGCCCGAACAGAGCAAGCGATCTTCATCACAACGTCCATGATGTGCTTCATATTTAAAATATTGCCACACAGCTGTGGTTGATGAATGATGCAGTGATAGCTCCAAAAATCC